ATAACGTATATATATATGTTAATTATATACATATTGAGATATAAATGGGCACCACAGATATGAAAGCGAAAGGTGTCTGTTTACAAAGGACTGGCACCTGAAGAAACATAGACCATGATGGAAAACCCACGTGGTGGAAGGCAAAGAGATATTTCTGCTAGAACGTATGCACAGTATATATTTGATACGTATATACATATATATATATATATATATACATATATAGCGTGCATATATGCTATCTCTATATAGAAAGAGATATAATTGGAGACAACAGACAAGAAGACGAAGTTACCTGTTCTTATAAAAGGACTGGAGACCTGAAGAAGAGATGTCTGTAATGGAGAATGCACGTGATGTTAAACAGAAGGACATCTCTCTGAAACATATACATAGTGTATACCTAACAGATATACATGTATATATATAGCGTGTACGTATGTTATCTATCTATCTATCTACGTGTACGTATAGATATAAACGGAGGACAACAAATATGAAGAAGTCGTTGCCTATTCTCAGGAGAGAACTGCAGACCTGAAGAAGGAATGACTATGACGGAGAGTGCACGTGAGTAAAAACGAAGAGACGTGCTCCAGCAGACTGCAAAAAAAAGAGCGGCACCCAACTACCTGGCCCAGAAGAGACGAAAAGCTACGTGTGAACAACCAAGCCAGGCGACTCAAGAAGGCGCAAACAAATGTATGAAGTGTTCATTCTTTACTACTGAAATGACTGAGGCTGCCATCAAAGAGACGGAGGTAGAAGGAGTACAGGAAAGCCACACACAAAAGCGGGGGGTGCAAACATCATACTGGCGACATATATATACATATATGTATATATATATATATATATATATATATATATATATATATATATATACGCACATATATACGTGCATGTATATATATGTGTGTAGCCACTGGCAGGGATACACAAAAGTGGCGGGGGAGTTCATTATCGTTAGAGAAAGAAGGGAAATAAGGGTCTCAGAACAGTGCAGTTTTCGTGTAAAAGACGGACAATCCATGCACACAGATACGAAATAATCACTTTTTACTACTGGACTGAACAGCAGTACGATCACCGGGAAGGAAGGCGAACAGCACATGCAAGGACAAAACAGAGAAGTGGTGAAGTTGTCCATCATCGTAAGGGTATGTGATATCGAGATATATACGTATATACACATGTATACATATATACGGATATATGTATATATATGCATACATTTATATAGAGACGAAGATCCCAAGAAGATAGGAGAGCTACAGCGTTGAATTTGAACATTTGATGTGAAGAGCGCGCGTTGTGCTCTGCTGCACAGGTGCATACATATATATATATATATATATATATATATACGTATACATGCACACATGTATTAAGAGATGAAGAGCGGAAGAAGATAGAGGAGCTTCTAGATAAAATACAAAACCCTGATACAAAAGGCAGTCGCCGACTGCTCTGCTGCAGAGGGTGCAGCTATGTTGCATCAGCCGACCAGCGCATAGTCTCGATGCTGGCGAAGAGAAGGTGTCTACTTCTCAGAGGAAAAAGGATCGATTGTCTCCTTCTTACGTGGAGGGAAGAAACCTGATAAACAGCAGAGAAGTCGACGGGAGAAGAGGAACAAGAATATAGATCCTCTTCTGCAGTAACAGTAGCAGCAACTAGCGAAATGTCTGCTTTCACCTTCGTATTTCCTTTCCTGCGCATACGAGCCGTACACACCTGTGCAGCTGCTGGCGGCTTAGAGGGGCCTGCACTTATTCACTGCTGCCGCCTATGTAGGAGGCAGAGGGAAGAAGAAGAATTCATTGCTGTCAATAAAAAGGAGAAGTGACTGTTGCTGCAGTAAAAGAGAGCCCAACGGGTTTAGCAGTTATCCACTGCTGCCGTTATACATATATATGAGGAAGAGGAAAGAAGAAGAGTATTTACGCTTTGAAGGAAGAAGGAAAATGACTGCTGCCGCAATGAAGAAGAGCTCTGCACACAGGGGACGTGTAAACAGCAGGAGGGTGGGGTATGTGAGCCGATGTGTAAATGTCAGACACTGACGCTACGAAGAGGAAGAGAAAGAGAAAGAGGGTGGAGATGAGAAAAATAGTCTCTCAAATGAAGAGAGTAGGTTCTCTCCAATTCGTGGACGGTGGAGAAAGCAAAAGCTGCTTTTCAAGGACAGAAAACAGGCAAATACCTACGAACAAGGGGTCAAGAAAGCACATCAGCTAGCCAGCTCGAAAGGGTGGGGAAGAGCTCGTGACTGAGTGACTGGCGACTACGACTGGCTAGCGCGCCTTGTGCGCGCCCACAGGCGGCACGTCTGGACGCGCCGTAGACCGCCAACGATACATTTTTTCGGTACTGGATACTAATGTATGGAAGAAGCAGATATATATATATGTATGTGCATACATTCTTATATGGAAGAAGTAGAAATACTGATGTGGACGCATTTCTATAGAGGGCACATCATATGCAGAGAGATCATGTGTAAGAGATGCGCACGCGCATGCGAAGAATATTGTACCCACTTTCAAGCCTACACTATCACGGTCATACTCCAAACAATGTAGATACCAATAGATATATATATATATTTATATATACACTTTTATGTATACGTATATATATACATATCTGTGTGTACGTGTAGGTTCACATCTATCGTATAAGTATGTTTATAATCTTCCCGTGTATTTCCGGCGTATCTCTCTGTCTCGTGGTCTCCATCTAGCCACTTATCTCTATCTGTCTCTGTCTCTCTGCACATCTCTACCTACATGTATACATCTTTCTGTAGCACTCCAGGTATCAATCTGTACCGTCCTCTTGACCTAGCTACTTATGCCTCCCTGGCTCTATCTATCTGGACTCGTGAATCTTCTTTCACAAGTGTTTACATATTATTTTGGGTGTCTCTCTCTCTCCTGTTCTTGATCCAGCCTCTTATGTCTCTGTCTCTGCCCCTCTGCACGCCTATGTGTATATATATATATATACATCCTTCCAAATATTTGTAGGCATTAGCTTCTACCTCGCTCTCTAGTTATTTATCTCTCTCTGTCCCTATCTCTCTGCACACCCAGACCTACATTTACAAATCTTTCTACGTCGTTTCCCCTTATATATGTATGTATGTATATTGCTCTCACTCTTGTTGTTATATCTCTCTGTCTGTATGTCTCTGCACACGTAAATCCATATCTGTATATCCTTCTATATCTTTACGGGCGTCTGTCTGTAGCGTGTACTTGCTCTAGCTACTTATTCTTCTCTGTCCCTATCTGTCGGCACACATAAATCTTTTAAAATCGTTGACAGCGCCACGAGGGTCAGGCGCCAATATACGTTTACGCGGTAGTGGCAGGTGAAGAGGCATGGACAACGATGTAGCATATACCAGACCATAAACCTGTTCAGGTGTAGATGTACCGGAAGACGTCTCCAGAGTGGAAGGTGCACGGACAATGACGTAGCCTATCGCAGACCATGGAGCTGCTCAGCGGTAGACATACGGAACACGCCTCGAGAGTGGAAGAGGCACAAACACTGACGTAGCCGATGGCAAACCATGAAGCCCTTCGACGTAGACATACCGGGAGAGGCTCGAGAGCGCTGGAGCCTACTAAGGGCGTGCTTCCGTTCAGCGGTACATACGCTGAGAAGACTACTGAACGGAAGAGAAGGGAAACGCTAAAGCTGCCTTTGGCGAATCATCCAAACACGACATGGAAAGCAGCCGAGACACGAGCACGACATCACCTTGCTGCTTAGCGCACGCGTGGCAAATATACATGTATACAATGTATAAGCATTAACGCGAAGTACCGTACTAAGTAGTTGTGCCCGGATGTACATGCACGTACAATATGGGAGGACGGCCACGCGGCTTCGCCTACGTTTCCGAAGAAGATCAGCCGCTGAGACGGCAAAACAACGGACTTCCGATGCGTCATTGGTCCACACTGTGTGGCTCTGCATCCACGGATGTGGCTGGCATCTGCAGCTGTCTAGATCTCATGTTGCATCCGTCAGGGATAGAAGCCTCTGAGTCGGCTGTAAGCGGAGAGTGTCTCGTACGCACATACAAGTACGTGCATACATACATCTGTGCATACATACGTACGTGCATACATACATGCACACACACGCATACATACATATGTCATACGTACGTACACTCAGAGCTACGCACGTGAAGGCTGGACCTGTGAAACGTGGAGAGTCCATGCCGCATACACCTTTCCATTGTCACTGCAGACTGTTCGCATCCGTGCGTCTCACGTATTTCCAGCCGACACAGTCGCACACATCTGGGAGGAAATCTACGCATACGGGAAATGCACGAGAGTTTGCTGTGGACTGAAGAGTACGACGGCATCGAGGAGGCAGAGTCTAACGTCAGCATACCTGTCCGCAACGCCTTGATGAATCAGTGCGACTTACCAGAAGTCTATGTAGACGTATTCCACAATGCAGGTGTGTCTGTTGTACGGTAGCGTATAGGGATGTCAGACAATGTGGAATTTCAGTATGTATACAGGGTACCTACGTGTACACATATGCGTACATCTCGACGTACATATATTATATATATATAGGTATATGTGCATATACCGCCTACATCCTGGAGGTAGCGAGCCGTAAGTGGCGCGAGCGCACGTAAGCCTGGTCAAGGGCAGCATGGTGCAGCTCAGCTTGTTAATGCGCCTTTGAAACCTTCTCTATGCATGCGAAGAGATGTGAGGAATTTCTGTTTGCCAACGGGCACAAGTAATACTCCCCGGAAAAGACAGAAAGCTAAAGCTCTTCTAGATGTAATGCATGTACTGCTATAGTGCGTCCTCCCGACACTTCGCTCATGTGGTAGTGACTAGTACCCGCCAGCACACATTTTGCTAGAGTACGTCGTCTAGGGGAAACGTATCTCAGTTGTCCTGGAACGCAGGCGCACACTTCATCGAGTCCTACATGTGCACAGCGGTTAGGCGAAGAACTCTCATTCGAAAGGCACGCTGCGTATGTGTACCTACATATGTACCTTTCTATTTGCGTGTCTTTGACATATATATATATATATATAGCTATATATACGTGTATGTATATATATGTATATGTATGTACCAATACGTACAAAAATATATATGCGTGAACGTGTGCGCATTGACCTTGATGCTTTCAGCGCGTGCGGGTCCACGAAAGGGTCTGCGATGCGTGAGCGGCGAGAAACGAGACCACCGTGCTCCCATACATGGATCCGCTCACCAAGAGACCACCAGATGCGATGACTCATTTCGATCCTGGCGCGCGCGTCACTTTTCTACAGCTTCGATTGATGCTCACAGTTCTCCACCAGGAGGTAGAAAAGTGGTCGGGGCCCTGCGACTGTCAGCGTGCAAGAATAACGCGGTTAGATGGGTTTGCAAACGATGTCAACGTCCCCGCATATACGTATATATACACATATACAAACCTACACATCTATATATATACGTACAAATAGATACATATTAATATAGATCCGTGTACATATATGTATATATATATATATATATATATATATGCATATATACGTATACGTATATACACATATACGCATGTACATATGTATACATATATACATGAGTATACACATAAATATATGTACATATATATACATATATATATATGTCAACGCCTGCGCCCGCGCCAGCGACACACACACAGACACACATACATACACGCATACGTAAGGATGGAATCATCCACGCGATTGCTCCGATTTGCCGACGGAACATGCAGACACTGCGGATAGCAGGACGACTGTGATATGCAGCAAAGGGAGGGCTGCTCCCTGGTGCGGAGCGAATCACGCTCGCGCGTGAGCCGCTCTCTTTCTTTTTCTCTTTCACGGCCCTGCTTTGAACGTAATCGAAATGGGGAGAATAAAGCGGCCTTCACACTTTTCCCTGCAGCTTATTATATTTATCTTTCAAGCGAACTGAAAAGGGGCGAGTCAGAGTAGACATTCTTTCTCCTGACGGGCGCTCCTCCTCTATACCACAGGCGTGTGAAAAGCACAATCAGCGAGTTCTATCTCGGCTGGAAAAATAGCTTCGCCGCCCGCGCGGCGCAGTGTCTAGTGATAAACCTCTGCGGAGTTTCTCCTCTAGGCCTCAAGCGGGATGAAATTGAAAACAACAGTCAGCAAATTTTGTCTCCACCAGCGAACATGTTTGCCAGCCGCTTCCTACAGCGAGTAGGGACGTGTTCCTATGCGCACGCTGTCTTCTTCTGTTCGCGTTCGGGGAAACGCAGAAGGACGCAGAATCCTAGAGACCTGCACGTCTTCTCTTTTCAGGGGACAGTGTACCCTGATCTGGGGAGTTCCGCGTACATGGAGCCGACTGCTGCTTGGCACAAGTATCGTTCCTCGTGCACGCACTTACATACACCCGCATATGTAAAACAGACCTGCTGATACGTACGACTGGGCATATATATACAAATCTAGGAGTAGCGCGTCCCGCTTATACGGACCTGCTACCTGGTGCGCAAAATACATCGTTTCTCGTGCTCGCACTCAGTTTCCTACACCTGCATATGTAGAATGGAGCCATCTACGCGTACTAGCATACACATGTATACACTTCCGCAAATGGCGGGTTCCGTCTGTAGGGACCTGCTAGCTTGTCCGCACACAATCGTTTCTCGTGCACGCGTTTGCTTACCCACACCTGCACACTTAGACTTTTTATTATGTACTAGTATGCGTATATATACACTTCGACCGATGTGTACACACGCAGTCAGCCATACCGTTGCTCGAGCGCTCATACTGACCTACAGCTGCACACGTAAGATATATCCGCTCACGTGTATTTTTATGCATCCATGCACGTTTATACGAACGTTTCCACATGCAGCAGTGAGTCGCGCGCTGTATCAGCAGAGAATTGTTTTTGCTTCTAGGGCCAGTGCGCTGGTCCAGCGACCCGTAGTCTGCGTCCGCGCGAATAACAAATTACAGTAGAAGCAGGCGCTTCTGGAGGAAACGCCTCCAACGAAAGCGGCTTCACGCTGGGACGCGTCTCCTGTACATATGTGACTTGCACGAGGATGTCCCGTACGCGAATTTACTGCATACCTCTGACATATATATTTGAATATATATATATATATATATATATATATATATGCACGCCACATATCGAGGTTAAGAGAGACGAATTTGCGGAGAAAGTCGTACAGGTATCCAGATAAGAGTCTTCTTCTCTCCCTTCTGTGGTCGTTATCGTCTCAGTGTTCTTCCTCGCTGACTGGAGCCAAGTGCTGTCGCTTCCATCCCTCACTATCAGCCCTGCGCTACGTGCTACGGCCCACCCTGTGCCCTAATCTTACTCGGTTTCCAGGATCTCGCATCACCAACCTTCTGCGCCGCTTCCGCAGTATTCCTTATACGAGCTGAAGCCTCCCATGTCCACATCTTGCCGTCTGTGTTCCCGTCTTCGTTCGCACGCGGCAACGGGGGGCCGATGCAGACTATTTCCTTTCGTCAAACTAAACTGCGTGGCCGCTTCGATAATGCATACAAGTGAGAGTAGGGTGATCCGCGCCGCTGGCCTCGTACGCATACAGGTATATAGATGCATATATACATATGTATCTGGGTATTTTAGTAGAAGACACATGTACCTGCACAAACGGGAAGCAGTGCTTCTCATAGGCTTCCCGCTTTATAGCTTCTTCATCAGACCGGTCGAGTCCAGTTGCCTACCTTTGCTTGCAAGTCTTCTACAAGATAGGAAAAGCGTCTCCTACTTTACCCGTCCTACGTTTCCGTTTTCGCGTTCTGCCCCCTCGTGTCGCCTACAACTCTTGCCATATCACGACCAAGTTTCCGCCAAGCGGCGCATGCTATTGTGTCTTCTTCCCGTCGGTAAACTTTCTCCGCGTTCGCATCCGTCTCGCCCTGTATCTCTCTCGCTCATAGTGTTTCTGTACTACGTTCATCCCCGCTCCTTCTCTCTATCCTGCATCCTCCGCAATATAAGTGCTTTTCTTTTTCCTGTCCTCTCCTCGTATCTGGACACTTCAGGCTCAGGTGCGGACCCCAGGCTTGCCCGGTTGCCAGGCCATCTCCTCCTGACAGTGCGCCAAGTTGTTCGATGTCGTCGGCAAAGAGACTCGCTGCGGTTGCTGGCTTTCCTTTCTAATGCGTTCGCTCATATTTTCGCCTCTCGCGTTCCACGGCTTTCTTCTTCAGCGCTCGTTTGTGTTGCTCAATGTCTTTCCTGCTGGGTCCTAACACATTCTTCTCAGTGGGCGGAGGCCTGCGACTGCCTCGAAGGTGATGCGGTCCGTTTTCAGCTCCTGCAGGTAAATTTGGTTGTTAAGTGCTCTTCTACGCCATTCTCCGTATAGGGCCACCATCAATACGCCCAGCGTCAGCGCTGCTGCAACGCAGAACTCATTCCGCCGGGTCCGCCGCTCTGCGTAATTCAGTGGTGTCCCTGTCGGTCCTACAGGACTAGTCAGCGAAGAGAGCACGAAAAGTGCAAGAACGAAGGTCACCAGGAGAGACCGGCTCAGAGCCGCCCACATGCTCTTGCGTCTGTGCAAATCCCGCAGATGAGAGCGTGCGCGGCTTAATATGGAAAATTCGTTTGGATCGAGCTCCTCTTCGTCAGCATACCTTTCTGCAATTTTATTCAGCTCTCTCTGTCTCAGCAGGCGACGGTAAGCCGGCACATCTCCGAGAAGGTCGTCGAGCTCCGACTTCCACCGGAGCTTTCCTTGTGAAACTGTCTCTGTTACTGCGGCTTCACCTTTAGCGAGTGCATCTGTCGCTGCTACCAGACGTCTTTGTAGTCCATCGGTGAACCGCCGTTGCAGCTGCAGATTCCTCTCCTGTGGCTGCTGTGCTCCCCCTTCTGTTGCTGCAGCCGGCAGCTGCGGCGGGCCTGACACGTCGAACTGAAGTGGTATAGCGGCTCCTCCCGCTGCTGCAGATTTTACAGCCCGCGCTGAAGTATCACCTCTCATTGTCTGTCTGCCAGTATCACTACTTGTCGCAGCCGCCCCGCCCGCTCCTGCAGATTTTGCTGCCGGTCTGCGACTGTCGCGTCGCCTTCAGTCTGTCGCTGTCGCTGGCTGTTGTGGCCGCAGCTCCGGCGGAAACTCCCGAACTGCGACCCGTACTTCCTGCTAATGCTTCTGCTAGTAACCTGTCTATGTCCGTCCTTCCCCCTGCTGTTCTCACTGCCGTCTTCGGAAAACTCAAGACGATTGTCGTTATGGCAATAGATTTTCTCATTGCTTCCGTGCTTTCATCCTCTACTGCGTCGGCGGTTCGGTTCAGTGTGCACATTACAGTTTGTAGGGCTGTGGCCGTTCATTCGTGGGCAAAGCTTTGCATATTACGCCGGCAGACCGTCTCCAGTGCAGCAATCCTCGTATCGCGTTCGCATGTGTGTCCCAGTTCCCATAGTGGAAACGAGAAATTTTCAAGCAGTGAGACTCGCAGCTGCCGGCGGCGTTCTAGTTTCGTAGCGGCGCCACCGCAGAAGATCCAGGGTGCCGCGCCGAAGAAAACGTGCGACGGAGAAGTAGGGAGATCGTCAACACACCACAAGGGCCAGTGTTGACGGCTGGCCCGAGCGGACGCAGGTATAAATCGTTTCGCTGAATTCTCCCGTAGACACAAAAGAGCCGAGGACCCTCTTCTCTCCGCCGAGATTTTGATTTGGACCGAAACATGCACAAACTCGCACGCGGTGCATTGATGCCATCCTTTGTAGGCGTGTTCTTTGTTGATGAGTATAGCTACGGAAGAAGGCCGTTCCTTAGCTGTACATTGTGAACGACGTTTGTACAGCACATAGGATAGATTATTCATGGAGAGGTGCTGAGTCGCGTGCGCCTATTTTGCTTATCTCCGAAGCCGTCTGAGTGGTATGACGGGCGCAATTCATTCGAAGAAAGGCGCCGGTCCCGCTGGCCACCGGGCTTCGAAGGCAGTGAACCAGCGGCATGAGATACACTGGCGGAGAAGACGTAGAGACTCGCAGAAAGGCGCCTGCCTGCTGGCAACCGGCTTGGAAAGCAGTGAACCAGCGGCATGAGATACACTGGCGGGGAAGACGCAGAAGTTCGTGCCGGTTCTATCAGGTTCTCGTGCATATGTCTAGATACGCACATTCATCTTCGTTATCCATTGTTGTAATTTTCAGTCGTTCTGAGGCGGCTTTCCCAGTCCGGGCTTCTAACGTCTCCTAAGTGTGGGGTCCGGGGAATCGCCAGGTTGAAAGCCTGAGGTATGCAAAGCGACTGCCGCACCCACGACGGTCTTAGCGTCACTTTGGAACAACAAGCCGAAGGTACCTCATCTAAGCGCACAGACGTGTCCAAGCACTTGTCCTCTGCGTCCTTGTCGGTCCTACGTGCCCTCCTTCGCACGCTCACTATAAAATACGTACGCCACCGTCGCGTCTGCTGAAGGCGCTGTGCGGCAAAAGGAAGTGGTCGCTCTTACGGGTGCAGAGGAGGTGTTTTCGGGTCGTCACGTTAAACATTTCACGAACAGCAAATGAGCTGGTACTAGATTTGCTTCGTGGTGTGTCAGCCGAGTCGTGGAAAACACGCAGCCTGTCTTACAGGTGGCGGACTCAGTTGCTAGATATCCAAACCCCTGTGCGGATCTCAGATTGAAGGTACAGACCAAATAAAGCTGTTGAGCTCAGCCTGTTAGAGTAATTTTCCGCAGTCGCGAGGTTTTAGATCTGAAACAGTTGCCTGGCCCGGCGTGCCCCTAGGTAAAGTTTTGCCGTACGAGACCTCCTTTCTTACGCCCGGTTTTTGCAGCAAGTGGTAGTTTCACGAGTTCGCTCCCCGCTGGCTGGAGATACGACCTAGAGCCTACCCAGAAATGCGGGATACAGAATACGGGGTACCACGGGATAAGCGCAGCACGTCGCCGTTCCCGGCTCGTGACCTAGTAATATAAGTGCTTCTCTGGCTGAGTCATAGTCAGTGCACGGTGTTTGAGCATCCTGGAGCGTGGAAAAGGAATAGAATTAACGGTGGAGTCCTAATATCTTTGCGGCATCAAAGCCTGTCGCCGATGGGACGCTCTTGGGGCACAAGAAAGGCGGTCCACGAGTGTGGTAGACTTGTCATAGGCTAGTGATATTGGCGACGTGTGTGTGAGCTCTCAAACCGAACAGCGTAGCCCCCGCTGCTCACATCGATAGTAAGCAGGGCTCACGTAGGGACTCGACCGGCTATCGTTCGCTAATACACGGAGCAATGATAACGTCCACGAATGTGCTGGCTCTGAGGCCAGACAGCCTGGCCCCCGGTCCGTATGCGGGCAATAAGCAATGCCCAGGCGAGGAGACGAGATGTTACCAGGGGCCGATACCCGGAGAATTGGTAGCGTCCACCAATGTGTTGGCTTTGAGGCCGGACAACCTGGCCGCCGCTGCTCACATGGACAGTAGGCAACACTCAGAAAGAGAGACGACCGCATACGAGGAGCTGGTACTCGCACGATCGGAACATTTGCCGCTGTCCATTAGGCTCGTGTGGACCTCCCACTACTTGCTATCATCACGATAATTGGAAGGTAGCCCTTTGGCATCTACTCTTCGTCAGCAAGTGTCATGTGATCGTTTCTCGCTCTGTGCGAGGCGGGACGGATGAACACATATCGAAGGCTTGTGCAACTCGCTAGCGGGCCTTTCGTATTGAGAGGTACATACATGCCGGGAGTACCCAGCGACAAAGCCACTGCGCGGACCTAGCACATATGCTACTCGAGCAGAGCCATGCGACTAGAGTTTCGGCTAGTATTCATCTGCGGGGATCTAGAACATACACTCGGTGCCACTCAAGCAGAGCCATGCAATTAAAATCCGTCTCACCTTTGTCTGCGCGGACTTGATAGGCACACACAGAGCGACTCAAACAGAGCCACGCTGGTAAAAGCGAGCCTCTCATTCTCTGCGCGGAGCTAAAACATGTATTGAGTGCCACTAAGCAGAGCCAGGCGACTGGAAGCTCTGTCTATCTGCAGAAGACGTTATTGGACAGGTGGCCGGTCAACGACGCCGCAGTGCAGGTGTTGCCACGTGTGTTGCAAGCGCATAAGACGGGACATGCCCCACGGAGGGACATGTTGACCTATATGCGGGCTCCGCGGACCTCCACATATGTAGTGCGAAGAATAGGGGGTCTCTGTGAAGAAGACAGCCCGGAATGCCCGCCTCAGAATACTTCACACCCCTCCGACAACGCCTTTGACATGACACACACACCAGGAAAAACGACGTGAAAAACTGCCCCTGCCACCGTTGACGGAGCTTCCGAGCGAGTTCAGACTAGCGAGAATCTCTCACGACAAAACTATAACTACACTATAATAAAGAGAAGAATTTGAGAAGATGCAAAGCATGTAAGTACGATGCATAGTAATGCGGAACCTCGTCTAGGCTGCTGCTAGCCCCCGGCGACAGGCGGTCGCGGCTGAGTGGGGGGTGATAGCTTCTCGTCACCAGCGCCTATGAGAAACACCTATGCGGCAAGCACAACAAATAACGGGCTTTAAAGAGGAGAAAGGTAATTCTCCTTTCTCCACATAGACAACCAGTCGAAATGGTGCTCTGAACGGGTCGACAGTGCCTGGTATGCGTTCTGAAAGCGTTGAAGTCAGGTTTACCGCGAGCGATTGCCCGTAGTAGTAGCGGCTTCTTGTCGTCAGCACTCCGTAACCAGTGACTATGCGGCAAGCGCAACAAATAACAAACTGCAGCAAGGAAGTAAGGACTTCTCTTCAGGTAATAGCCCGTTCGCAATGAAGCTGTGGAGGTATCGACAGTGCCTATTTCTCCGTGTCGAAGACAAGGTTACTGCAAGTGATCTCACTCGGCGGAAGGCCCTAGCGTCGTGGGTGCTAGATTATAGATCTCCGTAGTCGGTTCCTTCGTAAGCGTACCGACACAGAGATGTTTACTTCTCTCGGGAAGATGGCTGTGCCTCTTCTGGACGGGCTCCCTGCTAGCTAGCCAACATCACTCTGCGACTACATCAGTGTCATTAGGTGGGCGCGCAGTGATGAGGAGTGCGCGCGCTACCATCAGAGAGGTAGTTCGCTTGAGACGCCCCACGGGATGTAATCCTGAAGCTTTTGCATGTAGAGGTATGTACATGTGTATACAGGAATGTACTGGTAGAATAGGCGTGCGTAGGCACGATGCCTCATTGATAGATACACACTATCGCCATCATGGTGTCGTACAATATTTCATACGCCGTATATACCGGAGCCGCCTCGTATCGGCGCAAAAGCGGTCACGCAAAGGGCAGATTAACGCGCACTGCAGCTAGCTGATATCCGCAGCCTGTCAGCAGTAGCTGCCTATGACAGTCCGTCAGAGAGTACATCGACTCGCGCTAGAGTCGCCTCACATGTGTAGCGTGTAGGCATGTGATTGCCTACCACAGCCAACCAGAGTAGATCAGCGCGCTCTGCAGGCGCCTGCTATGTGTAGCCTGTCAGGAGCAACAGCCGGCAGCAGCCAATCAGCTAACACCGCGGCTGCCTGGTATGTGTACTTCGTAAGCAGCGAGTGCCTACAACACCGTACATCTGCCCGATATGGGTACTCTGTAAGGGGTCAGAGCCTATGACGTCTAGTCAGGGTACATCAGCTTGCACAGTCCCCTGTCATGCGTAGCAAGCAGTGAGTCTTCTCACAGCTACTCGTGGTAGATCAGCTCGCTTTAAGGTTGCATGATATGTGTAGCCTGTCAGCAGTGACTGCCCACGACAACTAGTCCTGTACACTGTAAGCGCTATGGCAGCTAAGCGTAGTAGATCAGCTCGCAGTAGAGTTGCCTGAGATGAGCAGCCGGCCGACCGTAGATGCCTACCACAGCTAATCAGGAGCAAACGAGCTTGCACCGCACCTGTCTGCTGTGCGTCGCCTGCAAGCATGAAAGCGCTTACGCCGGCCGACAAGAGTAGACCAGCTCGCACGACAGTCGCTTGATATGTGTATCTCTTCGTGCCGAGCACTCAAGTACGTAGTAGTCATATGGTAGGGCTGAGAAGGGCGCCTCCACTGCCTTTCTTTAATTCATCGGTTCCTTTCCAAACGGCAGACGGAATAAGAGATGCCTGCAGACTGCAGATGTCGACACAGCAGCAGTTGTTGGTAGCGCCACCTTGAAGCCGCTTTTGAGACGAAGGAATGCGTAACCTGAGCACACAAGTCTCTAACAAACAATCACACCCGCACTGTATTGCGCAGTTTCACTCGGCATATGCCCTTGTACGTCATTACCATATACCAGCGACTAAGCTACAACGGAGTGCTAAACCTCTTGAAAGTGGCTAGTTGGCGTTAACGTTATGACAGACAAGTAGGGCGAGGTACGCACGCAGCAGCCGTGCTGCTGAAGGAGTCTTTCCAACATGTGATCTCCAGCCACGTAACTAAAAAAGGAGATTGCAGATAACGGACCGAAGTGGCCGGGCGTTGACGTCATCGGAGACAGGGCAAGGGGCGGAGGAAGCCGCCTCCCCTGGGTCCACAGCATTTCCCGCATCTTACAGTCGCATACATAGTCCTCCGTAGGTGGATACTGCCTATAAGGGGCAGCAGTGGTGAGGCGCTGACGCCGTGAAGGAGAGGATAGCCGTCGGCACGCAGGTAGCCATTCCACTAAAGAATTTCCCGCGCTATGCAGTCTGCTGTCGCGCACGCAGCCCGTCCTCTAAAGCATGGTACCGGAGATAAGGCAAGGAAGCGGCAAGGTAATCTCCTTGGTAGGGGCGCTGTTCCCTCGGCTGTCCTGCTTAAGTATTTACAGCTGTAAGCAGTCTAAAGTCACGTACGTAGGATGTCCTCTAGAAGAGGACACTACGAATAAGGAAGGGAAGAGGCGAGGTGATCTCCTTTATGGAACTCTTCCTTTAAGCTATATATATGTGTGCATGCCATGCTCTCTCTGGATATATATATATATATAAAGGAGGAGGCGAGGAGGATATACACATATAGGCATGCCGTCCTCTCTCTGTCTACATACATACATACATACCTGCATACAAGTATAGATACCTGGTTCATGGGTCCATCTCCCTCTTGCGTGGGCATTGCTAGTGACCTGCTGCACAGAACGGTATCCCGGGTATAGCTGACGACGTGCCTGCAAGAAGTACGCGGGCTGGTGCTTTGCAGTTGCAGTACACGACGCCGTACTCCAAGTTACATGCCGTCAGTAGACTGCAAAGGCAGCACCTCTCTGCGTGGGACATCAACTCAGGTATCACTCTAAATGTAGAGGAACATTACTCGTGAAATGTAGCATCTCTCTCTCGCACATCGATGTGAAACGTATTCCAAATCACCTAACGTTTATAGGCTACAAAATGCAGCGCACCCGACTCTCTCCCTCGCATACCGGTGTAGGGGGTGCTTCCTCGGGAAACAAGACAAGACCTACATCCCTCCTTGCTTGTTGTTGAGGGTGTTGCGTTGCGAAAAGCCGCCGTCAACACAGCCTACTCTCTCTGCCGCCGCCCTCCACCATGCGTTCACGCTGGGGCTATCTCTCTCCTTGGACAGACGCATGAGCCTGCACCTTTAAAAAGCTGGTGCAGGTGTGCGAGCAACAGGAAGAAAAACTTTACCATTTCGTGTGCAGCCGTGGAGACACACCTGCAGACACGTACAAAATGGGCCCTTCAGACGTCCCTCCCGTCGGATCGAATTGAACAGGCGCGCGACATACCCTGGCAGGCTCTACGCGATCCATCTCTTTATTGTTGTAGCACTCTTCCCCCCTCAAGAGACCTGTAGAGACAACTTTGCGCATGGGTCGCCATGCTATGTTCGATGTTCGCTGATAAATGTCCGAGTGTGTTGCGCCTGCAGCCTCTACACGGAAGCGGGAAGAACCTACACTTCTGGTTCTGTTCTTCATGAAGAGGATCAACACCGCAGGTGGCTTCTGCTCGCAGGTTTTTCCATTCAAGGCAGCTTCGAGGGATTAATCTCCACTTCTAGTTTTTTGTGAAGAGGACCGCCCATACAGACGACCTGTGCATGCAGGCCTTTCGAGTTCACGCAGTTACGCATCGAAGAACCTCCTATAGAATGGTGGCATCGGGTGCGTCACGCTTGGCTAGTCTTATGCATACATACATAAATATATATCGATGCATACTGTATACATGCGTGTACATACAAATATAGGGGTATACGCTTATTAGGTGGGCTATACGCTGGAGCCTGTGCAAGCGACAGGGACCTGCGCTTCTACGTGTCGGCGGTGGTGCAGGGCAAAGCCGGGAACTGTGCTGCGGAAGGGCGATCTGGTACTCCAGGAGGAACTGAGGAAACAATAAAGAGTTTTCCAAGCTTTGAATGTGAAACAGAAGACCACGCTCAGAGGTTGCAGGTGTGCCTGGAGGGAGAAGAACACGCTGTTACATTCGAAGTGGAGACCGTTCTCGATGTGACGGGAGTACTGGCTCGGCAGCTAGTATACACATGTTTCTTATGTATACACGTGAGCGCGTACCGCGTTCCTTAGCAAGAGGCGCGAGTGCGTCTACCCGGCTACGGGATTCACTCGTCAATTTTCTTCACACCTCACACGCTACATGCTTTGGCTGCCGGCTTCAGTTGTTTCGAGGAAATGCATGCGAGGAGCTTTATAGTCCAGCACGTGCACCTTTCTCAATAATCTCTTGGGCGCTGTATATAATATTTGTTGTGTCGGCTTTATGGGTATGGTCGCAGACGCGTTATCTAATACCTGCTTTGTCGGCTTCACAGTATGATATCCCACGTGATATCGTACCCACTCTCTCGGCCTTATGGTTTTCCATGTTCAGTAGCTCTATTCATATCGCGCCGTATGACATCCGCTCTCGCGGCTTTACGGCATTTCTCTCAGACGCATAATGTACTATCCGCTCTGCCGGCCTCACGAGACTGTGTTTAACGCATAATATAATGTCCGCCCCCCCCTGCCTCATGGTATGATCTCAGAGATTGTATAGTATCTGCTGTGTCGGCTTTATGGTGTTTACCTTAGGTCGCGTGAAATAGCTTTGTTCTGTCGGCCGTATAGGATCTTCACATAATATACTGTTTGCTCTGTGGGCCCCATGTTGTGACCTCAGGCATTGTATAGTATCTGCTTTGTCGGCTTCATGGCATTTCTCTCAGTCGCCTAATATAGCATGGGCTCTGCCGGCCTTATGGCGTTTCTCTCAGACGCATCCTACAATATCCTCTCCGTCGACTTCATGGTATTATATCGAATGCATAACATGGTACCCCGTCTGTCTGCATTACGGTACGGTCTCAGACCGTAATATAGCAGGGGCCCTTTCGGCCTTATGGTATGATCTGAGGTTATGCAGTATCTGCTGCGTCGGCGTTGAAATATTCTCTGACGTTGCAAAATATGTGCTCTGTCGGCTTCTAGATAGTTTCTGAGACGCCGCAAAACATCTGCAGTGTCAAACTCACGGAAACTTTCACGCGTGTCAAAACGTTTGCTCTGGTTGCCCCGTACTATTTTCTCAGACCCCCTATAATGTCTGCAGTGTGTCATGGCATCCTCTAAGACGCAGAGCCTGGTAGCCACTCTGTCAGTTCTAGGAAATATGCTCCGGCGCCGAGTAATATCCACTCTTTCGGCTTTATGGTGTTGTATGAGACGCGTACTTCAAGAATTGCTGCGGCGGCCTCAGATTACTTCACGGACGTCGTAACATACCCGCTCAGCCGGCCTTAGAAGATTTTGTGTTTTTATAGCCATACAGTGGCCGCTCTGTTGGCTCTAGGGAATACACTCACAATCGTAAGAATTATATCAGTCGTACGTACCATCGTATCATAGCCGTCGTACGAATTATGACAATTGTACGACTTCGAACCAGTCGTACGAATTATAACAACCGGTTTATTACAATCGTACGTATCATCGTATCATAACAATCGTACGATTTATAGCAGCCGTACGAATTATAATAATCGTACGAATTGTAACAATCGTGCGAATCAGAACAGTCGTACGAATTTTAACAATCGTACGAAGTTGAACAATCGTACGAAAGTGGAGGAATCTTACGAAATTATAACAATCGTACGAATTATAACAATTGTACGGATTGTACCCTCGTACCGCAACAATCGTACGAATTAGAACAATCGTACGGATTATAATAATCGGACGAATTATAGCAGTGGTACGCATTATAACAACCGTACGTACCGTCCTATCATAACAATCGTACGTATCATCGTCCCGTAACAATCGTACGAATTAGAACAATCGTACGAATTATGCGGCTTTATGATGTTGCCTCAGACGTACAATCTGATTAACGCTGCGTCGGCCTGAGGTTATTTCACAGACGTCACATTATACCCGCTCAGACGGCCCTATAATATTCCTCTGTTCCTTAGCTATACAGTGTCCGCTCTGTTGGCTCTAGGGAGTACACTCAGACGCCGAGTAATAGCCACGCTTTCGGCTTCATAGTGTCGTCTCAGACGCATGATCTAATAAGCGCTGCGTCGGCCTCAAACTACTTTACAGACAACGCATTATACGCGCTCAGACGGCCTTGAGTTATTCTAAGTTTCTAGCCCTACCCATTTTGCATTGCATACGGGTAGACAGATGCGAAGAGAGCTTTTCATATAACAGTATGCAGCAATCCAAGGCCGCCTTGAGGATAATGCCTTATCAGTATGTCAATGAGCAGAAGGCAGCCATGCTAAAGTGGTATTACACCCGCGCAGAGGACCTTATAATATTCTATGTTCCGTAACTCTATGCGCGTTGCATTGCAGAGGGCTAGATAAATGAGAAGAGAGTTACTCAGATAACAGTATGCAGCAATCTAGGCCCGCCTTGATGTTTTCTACATATGTCGATGAGCAGAAGGCAATCGTGCCACATGCGATCGCAGTTAGAGAAGGCTGTGAAAGAAAGGAGACTACAAATGTGCTCGACGAGAATGTCTTGAGATGTACGTCAATGAGCAGAGGGTAACCATGCCACCGGCAACGGCAGTCAGAGAAGTCTGTGAAAGAAAGAGAGGTACAAATGTGCTCGATCCTCTCCTCTTGCCGTATGCCTACCTCTCCTGTATCACTGGGTCGCAGTGTTACCAGTATTCCCCCTGACGTGATGAATTATGCAAGTGCTGTTCTGTGGTTTTATCTGTAACCGTGAAGTGATGAAGTATCCCGGTACTGCTCCATGTTTTCTGCATCTATAGCTACACGTATATCTATATATACACAGGTCTATGTATACATACACATGTGTAACTGTGGACTGATGAACTACCTGGCGTGTCCTCCATATTATGCATGGCCGTGTCTTGGTGCGAGGTTGTGCGTTCAGTAATAATTGTGAACTACTGAAGTACTCAGCTCCCTCGCTTTCGCATTTCGGCTTAGAGTGGCAACTGTGGGTGGAGGAAGTATGCAGGTAGTTATTTGAGTTGCAGCAGTAATTGTGAATTGATGGAAGCTACAGGTGTTACCTGAGTGGCAACTGTGCAAGGAGAAAGTACGCAGTAGTTATTTGAGTCGCAGCAGTAATTGTGAAATGATGGACGCTGCAGGTGTTGCCTGGGTCGGAACTGTGAAAGGAGGGAGTATGCAAGTACCTAATGGGATGTAGTAGTAAGAATTGTGAAACGATGGAAGCTCCATGTGTTATGTGGGTTAGAGCGGCAACTATGGAACGAGGAAGTGTGCCAGTAGCCTTCTGTGTTGCAGAACTAGTTGTGAAATGATGGAAGCTCCAGGTGTTGTGTGGCTGATAAAGTATTTAGGGAGGGTTCCAGAGTGGCAGCTGTTACAGAAGGAAGTATGCGGGTAGTCCTCTGTGTTGCCGTAGTAATTGTGAAATGATGGAAGCTCCGTGTGTTATCTAGCTTGCTCCCCCCACTATCCCCGGCCGTGTCTTGGGATGGGGGGGGGGGGGGGGGGGAGATGTCAGAAACCTGAGTTAGAGTGGCAGCTCAGAAAAGGGAACATATGCGGGTATTTAGGTGAGCTGTACTAGTAATCAGGTGTTATCTGGCTTCCTCCCCTACAAATGTCGAAGGAGGAAGTTCGCAGGTAGTTATTTGAGTGGTAGTGGTCATTGTTAGACGAAGGAAGCTCCAGGTACTGTCTGGCTTGCTCCCCATACCATCCCAGGCCGTGTCTTGGTGCAGGACACGGTTGCTCTGTCTGCCGGGTCGCGGCCGGCCATCATCACTGCATCTCTCCAGTACGCCCGATATGCGCATTCACTCCTTTTCGAGAGGTATGCAGGCGGTCAGCAAACTAAATTATACCTGTAAAATGCGACATATTTGCGTATATATATTCGTGTTACTCCTTTGCACGACTTGGCGCAAGACACGGTAGCTCTGTCCACCGCCCGCCTTCGCTTCATCTCTTCAGTACGCCTAATATGTGCATTAACTCACTTCCTAGAAGTATGCACCGAGGAAATGCGATATATACTGTTATGTTACTCCTTCCTGCCTACGACTTAGCGCAAGACACGGGAGGTCCGTCTGCCCTGTGCATCGCCCGCCTTCGCTTCATCTCTTCAGCACGCCTAATATGTGCATTAATCCATTTCCTAAGAGTACGCAAGCGGCCTGTGACTTCATTATACCGCCCTAGCGCCATATATACCGTCATGTCGCTCGCTTCGAAGACCCTTCTCCTCCTTCGGCGGGTGCTGCTCTCTCATAGCCGCCGGTGTCTGCTGTTGTTACACCTCATGGCGTCCTTTACAGAGGCGAGGGATGAGGCGATACTCCCCACAGGATTCCATTTACGACGTTGTGAGCGTGATTCTTTCGGACTAGCTAGGCTGGTAATGTCTAGCACCCCGTTAAATACGTGCAAGAACCCCTAAGTCCACCAGTTCCGTACTTGCCCCTTCCCACTCGCGCGAGGACCGTCTCCCGCTAGGATTCCCCGTTTTTTACAATTTTGCCACCGTCATTTCATTGGATTAGTGAGACTAGTAAGGCTATACACCGATTTTCTTCGCGAAAAAGCCATTAATTACATGCAAGAACGCCAACCTCCACCATTCCGCTCTCGCCCCCTCCCACTCGCGCGACGACCGTCTGTCTCGGATGGGGTGGTGGTCTGTCTTGGACAGCGTTCGGCGACTGTGCGGTGCCGCGCCGCCAACAAAGCTGGGGCTGCTTCCTCTTTTCTTCGTGAAAATGCAGAATCGAGAGGGAAGAGGCGGGAAGGACATGCAGCTAGTCATTTTCTCGATGAATTCTCCCGTTTCAGCGCGTATGCGTATATGTACCTATATATATATATATATATATATATATATATATACATATGTATGTGTCCATGTTTGTATCGATGTATACATTCATATATATATACATATCTATAATTTTTATATACAGTATACATATACACACATTTATGTATAAACGATATATATAGCACGCAAGGCGCAGTGGGCCCACATCGGAAGCACGCTCCACGTTCAAGCGTGTGAGTGGCGTCTGCTTTCCCTTGCTCACACACACACACACACATTTGACCTTTAGACGCCGTCTTCTCCTCTAGAACCACTACTTTGAGGAGTCCCCGTAATCTTCGTCCTTCTTTTGTGCGGAATTGCACGTCTTTTCTCTACCCCGACCACACCAGAGAGGTCCCAAGTGTCCACTTGTGCCCTTTGCTGCAGGAGGCGATCGCCGCTTCCCCGGCAGAGCTCGTAGCAGAAATAGTCACGTATATATGTGCAAGCGTGCAACAAATCTCTTTGACTACTCGAGAACCTGTGCACATCTATATATATGTGTACATATCTATACCTATACGTACATATATACATATATATGCATGTATGTACGTCTGAGAACTTATACATATATATATATATATATATACACACATATGTATATACCTTTCAGGGTCTATACGTGCGAAAGTACTATTGCTTTCCGAAATGGCAGCAGACGCACACTTGCACTGTCTGCTGCCTCAAGAGCTTCTCCACGTCTGCCGCTGCGGTGCTTCTAGGCCTTGATTGTAGCGTATCGAATTTGTATAGGCAGCGTTCTCCGTCTACATATACCACGTCACACATAAGCGAAGGCATACGTATATGTCTATACATGTACATATACATATATATACATATATGCATATATATACTGTGTGGAGAACTGAGCGTAGGATATACGCGTCTTTGTGTGTGTTTGAACGTAAAGCGTGGGCCTACCTGTTTACACGCTCTGCAGATCCCTTTATCTTGTCTGCGGGAAGCAGCAGTCGATTTTTTTTTGCTACGTCGTGCAGCTGCTTCCGTGTCTGTCCCACAGTTGTTTCGAGAAATTCGTGTGAGTAGCCGCTTTCTGCGGATCACGTGCGTTCGTTTTTCTCGGCGAACGGGCCACACAGTGTACGCCGTACTACGCAGACCTGTAGCAAAAGCTGCAGAACTAACAGCTTGGAAGTGACTGCTAGCCGTGCACGCCTCTGTCTCCTTCTGTCAATGTACTTTGTGCAGATCACGTGTGTCCACTTTTCTCCGCGAACAGGACACACCTTGCACGTCGTACGGCAGCCATCTTCACAGCGCTTATGCTGCTGGTTATCATCTCCATCTTTACCGAATCAATCCTTATGCTGGCCTTATATCAAAAGTATCGTCGCGTCGTCATATCAAAAGTGTCCTAGCGTCTATGTGGATCACAGACGCGGATCATCCGGCGGGATCGGGTCGTCAAGTATCCCACAAATATTGCATTTCCGTCCCCGATCCAGACCTGATTTGCGAAAGCTGCAGAAATAGCAGCTTGGAAGTGGCGGCCAGCCGTCCCCGCCTGTGTCTCCTTTTGCCAGTATTACTCAAGACGCCGAAAGTCTGGTAGAATCACGACTTCCCGAACTCACTAGGAATTCGTTTTTCTTTGAAGTCTGTCCGATTACCTGCAACGATTGATATTGAGACTGCGGGTGAGAGTGAAACTTGAGGTAGCAGGGGCAATACTTCGCACACGTGCTCCTTTTCATGGTTTGAGATGAGTTACAGCGACTGTTGCTTTGCGCGATGGTGCACGCTGAATTTAATCAGGAAATTCTACTCTTTAGTTGTTCTATTGCGCGGTGGTCGATGTCAGAGTTAATCTATCACGGAATTTCACCATCCAATTGTTTTACGATATCGTCTGCGTGATCGGGGACCCTAACTCACACCAAGCCATTCCTCGATTGTTTTATGATATGGTTTGCGTGAACAGGGATTCTACGTTTACACCAGTCCACTCTCTAATAGTTTTATGATATCGTCTGCGTGATGAAAGACACTAAATTCACACCAGTCCACTCTTCAGTTGTTTTATAATATCGTTCGGGTGATCAAAAATTCTGAATTTACCCCGATAGGTACATCACTTTTCCCTGTCTTCCGATACTTCCCCGGTGATGACGAACCTTAAATCTCTTATATGAGAGAAATCCTTCTTCCCTATTTTATGATATCTTTTAGACTGTACGTAGTTGGTGTTACTAGCGAGAGGTGACAGCGTCAGCCATAATCTCCAAGGCGGTGCCAGCCCATGCCACAGTGTCGACGTTAAAAGTGATTCACATACAGTATGCAAAGGCTTTTTCCTACGCGTCTGCTAGAACAGACTGGCTGCCGCTCTAGTGCTTATTTATGCCTTTATATATATATACATCTATACATATATATGGATATATACATGTAAATATGTAGCTACACACGCATATATATATATATATATGTACATATGTATATATATATGTGTATATACGTACGTCTGAGAACACGTTGAATTTGTAAGCTGGCGCTTATATACACCCGTATACGTTTGAAGACACGCGAAGTGTATTGCCTGCCTTCGCTGGCAGCAGGTCTTCCCTATCACTATTCTTATATCACTGCCTGTCCCTGTCCCCCTCTTCTTACTTCGTTCGACCGACGTTTCGCTGCGTACCGTGCTCCAAACCTAGTACATTGATAAACTACTTGGCCCCTATGTTCTTGCACATAAGCGAACATATATTTGTATATATGTATATCTCTACATATATATATATATATACGTAGATCCGCTTTACTGATACCTGATATCCACTCCTAGTCCTGGATTTGCTTTATCGTCATGTGTACAGATATACAAATATGTACACGTATGCATATGTCCATGTGCATATATATATATATATATCAATACCTTTATTCCTGGTGGGCATGTACAGCGTAGGCAGACCCCTTTGACTAATATACTTTAGACACATACATGCAGATCTTTACATATACTATTGTGTGTAGTTGAATCGAACAATATAACAGTTCTTCCTGTTTTCATTCTCGTTTTATTCGCTTCTTGCACCACCGTTTTCTTTACCGTGCCTGTCCACATCTCCTCCGCCGCTTTACTTCCATCTTTCACCTTTTTCGGAAGATGGTGCCCTTGTTAAAGAAGTAGAAATCAAAGAAAAAGAAAAAGAAGATAAAGATGGAAGACCGTCAGGATCAGCGGTACAGCCCGAAGCTTCTACACGAGAAGAACACATCGTCTTTTGAGGCTGCATACCGTGAGGCCAAAGACACACAAAACAACCTCTGGTTACAGCAACAGCAACTGCAGCAGCAGCGAAAACCTTTTTACTTTTATTCTTCTGCATCTTCTTTTGCTGCTGCTGCTGCTGCTGCTCTCCCTACTACCCTTCCAGTCGATGAGAGCATGTATCAGGCATCTGTACATATATCACAACAGCAACAACAACGCCAGCCGCACAAACTTCAGCTGCAGCAACAGTATAAACCGCAGCACCAGCGCCAAGACAATTCGCAACAGCACCAGCAGCATAAACAACAACAGCAACATCACCGTCTCCAGGAGCACCAGCAGTATGGACAAAAGCAGCAGCAACACCATTCTCAGCAGCAACCGCAGCATGAAGAACAGCTGCGGCAACGCAAGTCTCAGGAACATGAATATCATAAGCAGCAGCAGCAGCATCAAGATGAGGAACAAGGTGTGAGGCAGGTACGAAAGCAGGAAGATAGAGTATTTGCAACAGCGGCAGACGAGTCGTCATTTTGGGGTATGACAGTGTATCATGGTATGCCGCCCTCCGTTTCCTCTTCTGCTTCTTCGTTTTCTGCTTCTTCTGTGTCTACTTCCTCTGCTGCTGCTGCGTGCTTCACCTCTTCTTTCTCCTCTTCCTCCAGGTGTAGTAATAGACTCCTGGACGAGACGTATGAGATAGCTAAAGCAACTGAACAAACAGGAAAAGACCAGAAGCGACAACAATCAATAGCAGACGTGGCAGCCTTTGCACCTCCTCCTCGCGCTATTGGAGCAGCAGCAGCAGCAGGAGGAGGAGAAGAGCGAGAACGTCTCGTGTCTTCCACACACCAAACAGCAGCAGAAGCAGCAGGAGCAGCAGCAACAGCAAGAGCAGCAGGAGCAGCAGCAACGGAAGGAGAAACTGCAGCAACAGAGGAGGCGACAGAAGCAGTGAAAGGAACAGCAACAGGGACAGCAGGAATAGCAGGCAGCTGTAGCAGTAGGGCAGCTAGTAGTGAGAACAAAGAGAATCCTTCCTTTCAGGTGAACATCTTACAGAGAGAGGTATACGAAGGTGCGACAACTGCATCTACAGAAGGCGCGTATAGCCATATTAATAGTTACAATCGCCACAGTCGTAACACCCATAGCGGCAACAACAGCAGCACCAGCAACAGCAGCACCAGCAACAGCAGCACCAGCAACAGCAACAATAGCAACAGCGGCAGCAACAGTAGCACCAGCGATAGCCACAGCAGCAGCAGTCGCCACCGCAGCAGCAGCAGAAGAAGTAACTCCAATAGCGGCAGCAGCGACAGGTTATCTACCTGTAACGGAATAGGCGTTTCTACAGGGGCTCCACAGAAGCAAGATACGCATACGCATGATATGGAATTTCCCTCCTCAGAGGAGGCATCGAACATTACCTCTTCTTTTCAGAGCAAAGATGGTTTGGTGAAGAAGAGTCACGCTAGCAGGTCTTCTGTTGATAGCGCTTCTCTTTCTCATCAGAATGCTATTGAGGGTATACATACTTTTGCCGTTGCTTCTAAGGACCACAAAGACTTTACTACAACAGCAGATAGGGCCAATGCTGCTGCAGCAAGTACTTTTACTTTTGTAGGTCGCCCCTCTTCTCCCTCTTCATTTTCATCTCCTCGTGCTGGGGCTGCTGCTGCTTCTGCTGCTGCTGGTGGTCATGCCGCCTCTGCTGCAGGACAGAAAAGTCATATTCATACTCTAACTCATGCTGCTGCTGACTCTGCCTACAGGAAAAGAAGGGGGCCTACTCCTTCAAATAGATCTACTACCGTGAGAGCTGCTCCAACTATTCCACCGATAAGAAAAAAAATTCCTTTCTCTTCTTCTTCTTCCTCTGCTGCTGCTGCTGCTCCTGAAGGGAGAGGTGCTTTCCTCTCGGGCGTCGCTACTACTACTGCTGCTGCTGTAAGGAGGAGTACGTGTGCTTCCCCCTCTGGTGCTGCTGCTGTTGCTGCAAGGGCTACAATGAGGGGCGCCTCCGCGTCGCACTCAGCTGTCTCTGCTTCACCTGCTGCTGCAGGGAACGGTGCATCTGCTTTGCCCCCCTGCTGCCAGTCCTCCTGCTGCTGCTGCTACAAAGGGAGGTGCTTCTGCTTCCCCGTCTGCTGTTGCTGCTGCTCCTGCGGCTGCTGCGAGGGCTACAATGAGGGGCGCTTCCGCTTCGCCCTCTGCTGTCTCTGCTGCCGCTGCTGCTACCGCAAGGATGGGCGCTTCTGCTTTCCTTCCTGCTATCGCTGCTGCTGCTGCTGCTGCTGCGGGGAGGGGTGCTTTTGCTTCGTCTGCTCCTGTTGCTGCTGCTACTACTACTGCAAGGAGGAAAGCTTGTGCTTCCCCCTCTGCTGTTGCTGCTGCTGCTGGTGCTGCTGCAATGAGGGGTGCGTCTGCTTCGCCTGCTCCTGTTGCTGCTGCTACTATCACTGCAAGAAGAGGAGCTTCTGCTTCCCCCTCTGCTGTTGCTGCTGCTACTACTGCTGCAAGGAAGGGTGGTGCTGCCTCCCCTTCTGTTGTAGCTGCCGCTGCTGCTGCAGCAGCAGAGAGGGAGGGCGCTTCTGCTTCCCCGTCTGCTGTTGCCGCTGCTGCCACTGCTGCGAGCAGAGATGCTTCGCCTTTCCTCCCTGCTATTGCTGCTGCTACCGCTGCAGAGAGAGCTGCTTCTGCCTCCCCTCCTGCTCCTGCTGCTGCTGCTGCTGGCAGTACTGATACAGCACACAGCTCCATTCGGAATCCCTTTACAGGCAGAGCCACCCGATCTTCCATGCTACGTGCAGCAGCAGCGGCAGGACGAGTACTACTACTACAACAACAGCAGCAGCAGCAGCAGCAAATTGCAGAGGGCCATAAACAGCAACCACAACCACAGCAGCAGCAGCAGCGGCTACAGCAGCAGCAACAGCGGATGCAGCAGCAGCAGCGGCAGCAGCAGCGGCAGCAACAGGCTAGTGAGAGTATCAGAGATCGACGTGAGATGCACGCAGTAGCATCTCGTCCATTTCCAAGTGGAACCAAGAGCAAACCGGAAGCTGCAACAGGAGAAGCAGCAACAGCAGCAGCAGGATCAGCATCTACAGCGGCGGCAGCACCAGCAACACGGGAAGCAGCAGCAGGATCAGTACCTACAGCCGCGGCAGCGACAGCAGCGGCAGCAGCGCCAGCAGCTGAGGCAGCAAGAAGTAATAATGGGGGGTGTTTTGCTTCTGATAGAGCAGCAACAACAACACCAGCAGTGGCAACAGTGAGAGCAGCCGAAACAGCAACTGCAGCAATATCTGCTGCGAGTCGCTGTACATACGAAAGGGGAAGACTCATGACAACAGAAGCAGCAGAAGCAGCAACACGACCTGTTACTGCTGGAGAACACGCAAGAGGGATGGCAGAAGCAGCACCGACACCAGGAGCGGCAGGAGGAGCAGGAGCAGCAGCCGTCGCAGCTACACCACTACCTGCTGCTGCCGTAAGCAAAGTAACAGGGGCAGCAGCAACGGCAGCGCCAGCAGGAGGAGGAGGAGGAGCAGCAGCAGGAGCAGCAGCAGGAGCAGCAGGGCGAGGAGGAACCATAACGACGGCAGCTGCAGCAGCCAGACATATGTATAGTAAATATAGTAAAGGCGGGCAGTTATGCAAAGAGGGGGGACTATTTGCTCTACATGCGAACCGACATAGGCCTTTTAACGGCAGCAGCAGCAGACCCTGCAGCAGCAACAACGGCAGCAGCAGCAGCAGCAGGGGAAGGAGTACTAGCTGCAACAATAGGGACAGCAGTAGCGGCAACAGGAACGGCGACAACACGACTATCAGCTCCGACTACAAGGACAGTACCGGCAGCAGCAGGATTATCAACTGCAGTAATAGAGACAGCAGCAGTAGCAAGAGGAGTTTCAGCTGCAGCAATAAGGACAGTGGCATGAGCAGCAGCAGCAGTAGAAGTAATAGTAGGATGACGTGCTCTTCTGCTTCTTCTTCATCTTCGTCTTTTTGTGCTGTTTCTGCAGTCAGGCAGAAAGCCGCAGGTGGAGCAGCGGCAGCAGCATCAGCATCAGCAGCAGGTGCTGCTGCAAAGGCTCTTACAGGAAAACAGGAGAGCAAGATGCACGCAGTAATTAACAACAGCGACAGCAGCAGCAGCACCAGCAGCAGCAGTAGCAGCAGCAGTAGCAACAGCAGCAGCATGACTGGAAACATGCAGCGCCTCCCCGCCGCACCTAATAGAAAACACCTGCCTGCGCGAGGGGGGGAAGGGGGGTCGCAGCTGCAACAGCAGCAGCAGCAGCGCAGTCGAGTGCAGCAACAAGGAAGCGGCAGACGATCACAACAACAGCAGCAACAGCAGCGACAACAACAACAATTGCAAGTACAGCAGCAGCAGCGGCACAAAGATGGTTCTTTACTATCTGGCCTAAAAGACGGCGTCAAGGGTCTCGTCTCGTTTATATTTTCTTCTTCTAGACCGTCTACTGCTGCGCCCTCTTCCCCTGTACACTCTGGGGCCGCTGCGTCTGTTCCTTCTTCTTCTTCTTCTTCTTCTTCTTCTTCTTCTTTTTCGTCTTCTTGTTCATTTTCTTCATCCTCTTCTTCTTCATCTTCTTCTTCTTCTTCTCACTCGTCTTCCCCTGCTTTACCATTGCCCCAAAAAAGACAGGAATTTCTACACAATCAGTCATCTGCTGCTGCTGCTGCTGCGCTTTCATCTGGTGCTGAGTGCAGCCCGCGAGATACAGCAGCAGCGGGTGGAGCGGAGATGACCACAGCAACGCTAACAGCAACAGCTCCGGCAGCAGCTAGAGAGGAAGAGGCAGCAGCAGCAGCAGCAGCGGATAAGAAAAAAGAAGATGAAGAAGAAGAAGAAGAAGAAGAAGAAGAAGAAGGAGCAGCAGCACAGCTAGCGGGAAGTACCATGAGGCAGCTAAATTGTATACTTGAAGGCGTAGCAGCGGCATATCAAGAGAGCATTGCAGCAGAAGCAGCAGCAGAGAACAGGAGACCAATGCTGCAACACTTATCCTCGCAATCAAAGCAACAGCAGCAGCAACGGAGCCAGCAGCCCAGGCAGGAAGCGGAAGAATTCCGTCTGCATATGCAGCAAAAGAAGATTACGAGGCTTTGTATTGAGGACAAGGCGCAACAGCAGCAGGAGCAACAGCAGCAGCAACGGCAGCAACAGCAGCAGCAACAGCAACTGAAGCAGCAGCGCCCGCGGCAGGGGCACTACCAGCAGGTCCAGCATGAGATACAGAAGCAACAGCAGCAGCAGGAGAGCTACCAACAGATACAGAATAACATACAGAAACAGCAGCAGCAGCAGGAGAAGAGGAAGCACATGAGAAAAATAGAAATTTCTGCTTTCACGCATCCACACAAGAAGGCACGTTCTACGTCAAACGAGTGGCGAAATCATCTACATAGAGATATGGATTTGTTTAGTACTACTACTATTGCTGCTGCTGCTGCTGCTCCTACTGCTGCTGCTGCTGCTCCTAGTGCTGCTGCTTGTACCACTGGTGCTGCTGTTGCTGCTCCTACTGCTGCTGCTGCCGCTACTGGTGGTGCTGCTGCTGCTGCTAGTGGTGCTGCTGCTATGCGACACAATAGTGTGACCGCAAGTATAAGAAGGAACGAGCACGAAGACACGAAGAGCAGTCAGTATGCAGCAGATGCTACTACTACTACTGCTGCTGCTGCTGCTATCCAAAGAAACAGTAATACTATGACTGCCTGCACACGCAGAAATGAAGGCCAAGCCAGCAGAAGTAGTTGGCATAACGCCGCTTCTCCTGCTGCTACTTTTGCGGCAGCTGCTGGTGCGCCTATGAATGCCTTTATACAATCCAGCAGTACCAGTATCACCCTTCCGGATCATCGGCGGCAGCAGCAGCTGTTACAGCAGGAACAGCAGGTACAACAGGAGCAGCAGCAGCAACCGCAGCCCTCACCACACAAGCGCCTGCTGCTACAAGAGCAGCAGCAACAATTGTTACGACTGCAGCAGCAGCAACAATATCAGAAGGAAGAAGGGAAGCAACAGATGATAACACATGAAGCACTGCTTGTAGGAGGAGAGGCCACAGTCTGTGTGAAGACTCTATCACAGGAGCAGCAGCAGCATCAGCAACAACAGCGGCAGGAACAGCTGCAGCAGCAGCATCAACAACAACAGCGGCAGCAACAGCAGCAGCAGCGACGAGATGCTGTTCCTACTCCTCTGTTGCTTCAGCAAAAGGAGCAGCGACAGCAGCTGATGGTGCTACGAAACGATAGCAACGAAAGAAGCAGAGAAGTTGAAGCAGCAGACTTGCTGCCTTTCTATGATGCACTACCTGCAACACAGGAGGACTCTGCAGCAGCCGCAGCACCAGCAGCACCAGCAGCACCAGCACCTGCGGAAACTGCAGCAGCAGGAATAGCAGCAGCAGGAATGGCAGCAGCAAAAGATACCCGGCCTCCACGACCAGTAGAACAAGAGAAAACTGTACAAGTGCCTTCTTCTTCTTTTTCTTCTTCTTCTTCTTCTGTTGCTGGTGGTGCTGCTGCAACGGTATCAGAAGACAATCCCATTGATCTGCAGGAGACGATATATTATGAGAAATACGATAACTTTCTTGCTGCGTCGGTATGTACAACAGCAGTGGTAGTGTGGCAGTTGTCGCAGTGGTAGTACTCGTGTTGTAGTAGTAACAATAGTAGTAGTAGTGATACCAGCGTAGTTGTAGTCGTAGTAGTACTACTAGTAGCAGCAGTAGTAGTAGTAGTCCCAGTCTTCTCAACAGCATCACTAATTTAGCAGTTACAGAGTTAGTACGTATAACAGCATGTGCAGACAGTACTGCGCACATATTCGTGTGCCAGCGACTAGCACGACATATATGTGTGTATATAGATATGTATCTATCTGTCTATATATATATATATATATATATGTAAGTATATGTACGACTAGCCGCGTCTATCTACCTATCTATCCCTGCACACTTGCTTATGCAGACATATATGTAGGTGTCTGTCATGCACGTATGTAGGAGTAAGTAATAGTCGTCGACGCAGCAGCAACTGTAAGTCGGTAGGCACGTAATGAGGCGCTGATCGGTAAAGCAGACGGTGCAGCTGACACTTCGTACACATTCAGTAAAAGACAACTCGCCTGGAAAATGTGTATGTATGTATGTATACATATATATATATATATATATATATATATATATATATATGTATATACAAGTGTAACTCTGTGTACGCGTGTACGTGTATATACATATGGGTGCACGACACATATCTGTGCACAAGGGATCGGTAGGTTGCCCTCCCTCTTTTCGCTTTCTCTCTCTATGTATGTATACGTATACATATTTATGTCCATAAGTATAAGCGTTGTAATAGACAGGTACACGTATACGTCCCTATACAGAATATGAATGCGTTTGTCGCGCTCTCCCTCTCTCTACATATATATATAAATGGTATATGTGTCAGAATATGCACATGTATAAGTGTGTACCCGGATATATGTACAGCATGTTCATATCTTGCTGTCTGTCTCTCTCACGCTGTATGTACACGTATATAGTTAGACAGATCTACATGCATACGTAGGTGCGTATATGTCAGTGCCTTTGTTTATATATAGGTAGACACATATAGATGCACATATATATATATATATATACATATATGCATACATATATATATATATATATATATATATATATCTGCGTATTGTGGTTAAACAGTAGCAGCAGCAGCGGCTAGTTTAGAGTCCATACAATCCTTACTACTCTACTGAAGCTACTGATGTCTGCGCCCTTCTATCCTGCTGTCGTTGCAACGGTATTTTCACTTCTTTCACACGTGGGAAGGGTGTTGCTGCGATTCCGCTGCTGCTGCTGCTGCTACCGTACCGCTGTTGCCGCTGCATTGCTGCTGATGTTGCTGCTGCGGGCGACGAGCCCCTGACCCTCTGCTGTTGCAACTGTTGCTGCTGCTGCTGCTGCCGTTGTTGCACTACGTTGCTGCTGATCCTACGCTGCTACTGTTACCCTGCTGTCGCTGGTGCTACAGCGCAGCTGCTGCAGCTGCGGATAATATATATATATATATATATATATGTGGCTGGTACTCGGCTGCTGCTCTTACTGCGCTGCTGCTGATACTGTGCTGCTGCTGGGGCCATGCTGCTGCTGCTGCTATGAGTCGGCTGCTAATATTACAGTGCTGCTGCTGTCACTATGATGTTAGTGTCACTCTGCTGCTGATGCTGCTGTTCTTGTGCTGCTGTTGTTGCAACGGCGAGTAGCATCCTCCACTTCTATTTATTGTTGCTGCTGCTGACGCTACTGCAGTCGTGCTGCTGCCGTTGCTACTGGGGCTAGCGTCATCCTTTTTTGTTTATTGCTGCTGCTGTTCTTCCTTTCCTGCTGCAGCAACGGTCGATTTTTACTACAGAAGCAGCGGAGTATCTGTTGCAGCCAGAGACAGCAGCAGCACCGCACAACAACAACAGCGCCGACAGCAGCAGTAATAGTAATAGCAGCAGCTATAGTAGCGATAAGGATAGTAGTAGGAGTGCAAGTAATAGTAGTAGAGGCGATGGTACTAATCCTTTCACCGTGAACAATTACAATGGTAGCAGCGGCAGATGTAAAACTACTGGGCGGCTCCCTACTGTAACGCAAACGCGGCAGAAGCAGCAGGAGCAGCAGCAGCGGCAGCAGCACCTATACAGCCTGCAGCAGCACGAGCCGCAGCACCGGCAACAGCACCTAGACAGCCTGCAGCAGCCGGAACAGCAGCAGCAGGAGCAGCAGCAGCGGGAGCACCACCTATACAGCGTGCAGCAGCAGCGACAGCAGCAGCAGGAGCAGCAGCAGCAGCACTATGGGGCGGCAAGGTATCATAATACAAGCAGCAATAGCAGCACCAGCAGCAAATATGTGCAAGAGACGTGCCTCCCTAACTTAGTTCGTGATGCTGAAGCAGGGTACTCAACGTCTGCTGCGCGTTCTTGTGCGACTTCAGCATCAAGAGCAGCAGCAGCAACAACAGCAGCAGCAGCAGCAACAGCAAAAACAGAGCACAGGTACCGTGCTGCTGCCTTTGACGGCCGAGAGGTAGGCTTCGCCGCAACAGCAACAGCAGCAGGGGAAGAAACAACGGGAGAAGCAGCAGGAGCGGGTCTGATTGCCCCATATACATCGAAAAGAAGACACGTAGCAACAGCCGAAGCAGCGGCAGCAGCAGCAGCACCAAGTAGCGTAGTAACAACACAACACGTTTCTGCTTTTGCTGCTGGTAATGCTTCTAGTATACCAGCAACGTCCCTTCTAGCACAGCTTGCTGCTGCACAAGTGTTAAAACAAGCAGCTCGTGCTGCTGCTGCTGCTCCGGCTGCTGCTGCTGCTGCTACGTCTAACACTCTTGCATATCTCACAGCTGGTACTACTACTACTGTTACTGCACGCCCTGCGGCTGTTACGGCTCATCGTCCTCTTGGGACTAATGCTGCCGCTGCTGCTGCCACTGCTACTATGAATACTGCAGGTACAAGCTTAGCAGGTAGCAGCGGCAATAGCAGAAATAGCAGCATCTGCAGCTGCAACAATAATAATTATAATAAGAGTAACACTAGTAATTCCGTAGGCTATTTTCATCCGTTAGGCAGTAGGAGGTGCTACGATGGCAGCAGTAGCAGCAACTGTGCTTTCCCTCTGACTAGTGGCACTCATACAGACATCGGGAACTCAAATTCGCCTTCGTTATGTGACAATAGGGCCCACAGCAGCAACAGCACCAGCAGCAGCAGCAGCAGCAATAGAATCAGCAATAGCAGCAGCAATACCGGCGGCCATAGTAGCAGCAACAGCAACAGCAGCAGCAGCAACAGCAGCAGCCGTCTATTGGATACCGGCGGCAACACAGACAGCAGCTGTACGGCTACTAGCGTTAGTCTTCTCCACAGCTGCAGCATGGACAGCAAATTTTCGTCTCTACTGCTTGAGAACTGCGTAGATACCCTGGGGGAAGAACAGCAGCAACGGCAGCAGCGAGAAGTACAGCAGCAAGAACCGCTACCACGAAAGCAGCAACAGCAGCAGCAAGAACTGCAGCAGCAAGGACTGCTACTACGAAATCAGCAGCAGCAGCAGCAGCAGCGGCAAGAACTACAGCAGCAAGAACTGCTACTACGAAAACAGCAGCCGCAGCAGCAGCAGCAAGAACAGCTGCAGCGTGCGCAGCAGCAAGATCGACAGTGGCAGCACCAGCAGCAGCAGACGCCGCGGCAGCAGACGCAGCAGACCCAGCGGCAGGAGATGGAGAAGGAGGATGAGGAGGAGGAGGAGGAAGAGCAGCAAGAAAAGCAAGAGGCACTGCAGCAGCAACCCAAAGGGAAGCAGCAGAAGCAACATCATACAGGTGTGACGACTGCTGCCGCTGACTCACTACTGGATATTCTCAGGCATGGTAGAAGACACAGAAGCAATAATAATGAGAACAATATTAGTGATTTATACAATACTAGTGGAAGTAGTAGTAGTAATAGTAGTAGTAGTAGTAGCATATATAATGACAGTGACGGTAGGAGACAGGAAAACAACACTAAGTAGAATTGCATTGGTGATGTATACCATAATAGTAGTAGTAGTATATATAATAAGAGTGGCGCTAGAAGATACGGAAGCAATAATAATAAGAATTATTTCAGTGCTATATACAATACTACTAGTAGTAGTGTATAAGGCAGTAGTGATGGTAGTAGAGATAATTATAATGCGGATAGTAGTGGTACTCACAAGCACCATCAGTGTAGTCGTAATAGTGCTGTCTATATCCATCATTTTCACAGCAATAACAATACTACTACTTCTCCTCCTCCTCCTACTACTACTACTACTACGAATGATAAATAGAATAGTT